TCTACTAAAAATAGAAAGAAATTAATCAGACAACTAAAAATATATAGAAAAAATTAGCTGGGCATGGTGGCGCATGCCTGTAATCCCAGCTACTTGGGAGGCTGAGGCAGGAGGATCACTTGAGCCCAGGAGTTTGAGGTTGCTGTGAGCTAGGCTGACGCCACAGCACTCACTCTAGCTGGGGAAACACAGTGAGACTCTGTCTCAAAAAAAAAAAAAAAAATCCCAATCCTTGGATAGCTAGCAGGGAGGTGCTGGGGGCAGTAAGGTAAAGAAGAATGGGTGAGAGCAGTAAGTTCCCAAGACAGCCCTCCTCTGGCCTTTATCGCAGAAAACGCGTTCATTGGAGGGGCTGCTTCTCCACTCGCACGTTCTGCCCTGGCCACTCCTGACGCTTCCACACCCTCAGCACCGCCCAGTACCAAATCCACCTGCTTCCTGCCTCACCCAGCGCAGATCCATGGCTGTCTTGTTCCAAGTGATAACGCAAATGCAACTCCACAGAAGATGCAAGGGTTCCTCTGCTCCATCTTCAAAAAGTCATTAATAAATCACATTTAGTAAGTCGGTGAGAGTTAAGCACATTAGTGAGTAAAAGAAAATCTGAATGAACAAGAATGGACAGTCTACCTAACTGAACGAATCTGGCGGTTCAATGATAAGAGACGAAGAGCCGTGCACACCACGGAAGAACAGCACAGCAACCCCCAGAGGCCCCAGTCATTTGGCTGGGGAGCAGCCCAGCATGGATGCTGGTGAGGGGTCTGGCAAAGTGAACGGCCCTCAGTTCCCCACCTGGTCGATCCATTCCCCAGTGCTGGGCAAGAGACACACCTGTTATCTTGATGCCTGCCCCAGTGACCTCCCAAAGTTCCTTATTAAGAATGAGAAACAAGTGTCTTTCTCTGTGTGTTGACTTCAGTGAGCCATCAAACATTTACAGAAGGCCAGACGAGGCAGCTCACGCCTGTAATCCCAGCTCTTTGAGAGGCTGAAGCAGGAGGATTGCTTGAGGCCACAAGTTCAAGACCAGCTTTGGCAACATAGCGAGACCCTGTCTCTACAAAAAACAGAAAAATTAGCTAGGCATGGTGGTATGTGCCTATAGTCCCAGGTACTGGGGAGGCTGAGGCAGGAGGATCACTTGAGCCCAGGAGTTTGAGGTTGCAGTGAGCTATGATGATGCCACTGCAGTCTAGCCCATGCGACAGAGTGAGACCCTATCTCAACAGAAAACATTTACTGAGTTTAAAGCAGAAGACTGAATAGTAATAATTATAGGAAGCAGCAGCAGCGGCAGCCACCATTTACAATTTGCTTACTTGGTGCCAAGCCCTATGTTAGGCGTTTTACAGCCTTATATCATTTAGCCCAACAATCCATGGGACCATCATCATTTGACAGATAAAGAAATGGCTCCAAGAACATAGGGCACACATCCAATACTATGAGTTAGGATTTGAACCCAGGACTGTTAGACTCCCAAGCCTCTTAACCATTATGATTCCCTGCTGTAGGCTATAGGGAGATAGAGAGGTAGAACCCATGATTGCTGTCCAAAAGTCAATAACAGTAACAATACTGATGCTGAGGGTGATGGCTGCCACTGTTTACTGAGCACCAGCTATGGGCCACATGCAGTACCAAGCTCTTCAGTTACATGGTTAAGTCACAGGGACGGAAACTCCACATGCCAGCTCAAACTCTATAATGGGGTGGGGCGTTGTTGATTTTTTAATGAGCCTTGGACATAAACAGGAAGCTGACAGTAAAGCAAGACTAGAGATCTTGTACTTCTAGGCTTCCCAAGATCCGGACCAGGATTCCAGGCAACTCCAGCTTCCTATTTTGGCATATTTACATTATTTCAAATTTGATACACAACGTGAGGCTTAGATAGTGTTTATGTAACACTATCTCAACCTTGTACAATGCTTATTGGTCTCCAATGTCCCTCTACCGTATTTCTAAATTAAAACTACCAAGAGTGAGATTCTGCTTTGCCCAGCTTGTCCTAGATTGGGCAGAGTTTTGCCTGAGCCCAGAGTCTTCACCTGGCCAGCCTGTGGATAAACTGCCTCTCCTCGGGCCAGGTGCACATCCCTGGCTGCAGCCTGGAAGGCGAAGGGGTGCCCAGATCAGGTGGTACGAAACACGCATGCCTCCATTTTTACTGGTGGGCAAGCCACAGCTCTGAAGGGCAGCTCCTAAGGGAGACCTGAGTGACAGGGAGAGGTGGACACAAGGCCAACAGTTACTAAATGAATGAAAATTCTCACTGATTCCAATGAACCCTGTCAAAAAATGAGAGGTTTTTTTTTTTAAAGATGATGAAATGAGGCAATGTATGATTACAGCAATAATAATACGGAAAAGAAATGTAGCGGTTCAGAGGAGGGAAGGTTAGGTGACCTGGGGAGAGTACACGAAGAAGAAGGAACTCGAGCTGCAGGATCCACCTCTGGGTGGTTCGCTCACTCGCACACTCGCGAGTTGTCAGAGGCCTCGGTTCCTCCCCAGATGAGCCTGTGCACACGCTACTTGATTGAAGGTCCTCACAGCATGATGGCTGGCGTCCTCCAGAGTCAGTGATCTAAGAGACAGAGCCAGCGTGAGGCAGAAGTCATCCTTTTTGTGACCTGGCTTCAGAAGACACAGCATCACATCTGCCACACAACATGCATAGTTAGAGCTCAGTCACTAAACGCGGCCCACATTCAAGGGGAGAGGATTTAGACTCCACCTTACAAAGACAGAACTTGTGGACATATTTTAAAACTACCTGCATATAAAAAAGCGAACTGTTTTTCTCTACACTCTCATTCTCAGTACTTTACTTCCGACACCAGATTGGGGGGTCCCCACACCAAGCAAGTCTCCGATTCTCTGTGGACATTGACTGGGTGTCGTACAATCCAATTCTGACACTAACCAGAGTAAGCGTCAGACCCCACAGGCTAAGGGTTCAGTCCCACAAAACTGCCCCCTCTTCAGATGTCAATCGAAAGTCCAGGATGTCACCTCTGCTCCTGACCCACTGCCTATAGATTGGAGGTTCCCATGACCCCCTCCTCAGGTTCTATCATTTGCCAAAAATGTTCACAGAATCCAGGAAAACAGTTTACTTACTATTGCCGATTTATTACAAAGGATATTTTGAAGAATAGAAATGAACACCCAGATGAAGAAATGCGTGGGGTGCGGTCTGGAGAGGTCCTCGTGGATTTGGGGTACAGCACCCCCCTACCACATGGATATGTTCAGCAACCCGGAAGCTCTCCAAACCCTGTCTTTGAGGCATTTTTATGGAGGCTTTGCCATGTAGGCATGATTGATTATTAACTCAATCTCCAGCCTCTCTCCCCTCCCCAGAGGATGGGGGTGAGGCTGAAGGTCCCAAGCTGCTAGTCATGACTTGGTCTTTCTGGTGGCCAGCCCCATCCAGGACCCACCATGAGTCACTTCATTAGAATAAAAGATGCTCCTATCACCCAGAAAATTCCAGGGGCTTTAAAGAGCTCTGTATCAGGAACCAGGGTCAAGGACAAAGTGCTGGAAAAAAAGATGCTCCTAGCACCCCTGTTGGTCAGGAAATTGCAAGGGTTTTAGGAGCTGTGTGTCAGGAACTGGAGGCAGACATCCAATATATATTTCTTACTGTGTCACACTGCCACACACAGGGAAACAGAAGCCACTCTAGATATTGCAACTAGTGCTCATCATTAGAGGGGCTAGAGGTGGTGGAGTTGGGGCGGGTTGCTTTACCACAGCTGGCTTCTAGAGAATCAAAGGAGTCAGGAAACGGGGAAACCACTCCTGAGGCCGCTGCAGCCCCCCGGTCCACAGGTTGGCGATGAGTTAGGGGACCATGGAGTCCAGCTGGCCACTACAGCCTGCACGTCTGTCGCAACAGAGAAACAAAGAATGATTTCTGCCTCCTTTGCACCCTCCCACTTTCCCATGAGTACACTTATCAGCAGCACCCTGCAGCAAGGGAGGCTTGTGGTGCGGTTCCCGGCCCTCCAGAACCTGCATAGAAAGGAGTGAAAATGGGCACCGCGAGCCAACTGACCCTGCAGCACAGCTCCACATCCAGGTGTGTGAGGATCTGCGCTTGCGCTTGGAGGTGTCCCCTTTTGGGTAGGCTTGTGAGTGTCCAGGCCTTTGTGAAAGAAGGGGGAGGTAGTAACATGGTGCAGACTTAGCTGAATCAGAGAAGGGTGTCATTCCAGCTGGGCAGCAGGTGATGTGCACTCAGCCCTGGAGATGATTGGAGAAATGCCTGGGATTGATCCGAAGTTTGTTCTGGAATGTTCTCACTGGACTGAAGGCCGGGTGGTCTGCAGGCCAT